TGATATTGTTAGTACTGTATATAGTGTAATTTATTTGAAACCTTTTTCTGTAACTAGGTTATGAAATAAAAACCATTTAAAATTCTAAAATACAAGTTTTTGAACTAAAGCACAAGTGATAGTTATTACTTTAGATAATCTTATTTACGAATCTATTAACAGTATAAAACTAGCAATAAGAGACTACATTTATCAATGACTAGAAGCTCATATTTTTTTTTAATATTTATATTAAAAATAAACTAACAACTATCTGTTAATATTAGAATATGTTCTATTATTATATCCAACGTCATAACATAAACTACATCTTTTATGTTTTTCTGATTCTACCAACTCAAAAAAGTTAGATAGATTTCTTCTAGTAGATGAATAAGCAATATTTTTGGATCCAGTTGGACATTCCCTTGTAGTTTGTATTTGTAGGTCTTTTACAACTGCAGTTGACTCTTGAAAGAGACTTGATATTTTATCTAGAATTATGCCTTGTTGTTGAGTTGTCAAAGAGTCAAATTGCTAAAAATAATCTTGCCACTGCTGTTGTAAAGAACTATTAGTATCCACAAGTACTTGTTGAGGTAATTGACATTCTTGGATTTACTAATATTGGTAGAAGTCAGTAAGTTGTAGGCATAGGTTGTTAGCAAGATATTCGTGAATTTTATGTAAGCAAATAAGGCCCATCGATGATGTAAAAACACTACTACAAGAAAGTAATAGATTTTCAGAAGTTGCATTAGAAGCCTTTAAAAACTGTCTATGAACCTTTTTTAGAGCAAATATAGATACCTTGGTAACAACTTATGTATAAAATAAAATATTTTGTGCATAAGGAATTCATATTTTTTCCTGAGAGATCATAACTTGGATTTCTTTATGTTGGTTTTCTAATGCTAAAGAAATTCTTTTACTAACAATACAAAGATCACTAACAGAAACTTGAAGATATTTTTTAAGCATTGAATGGGATCTTTCTACTCATGAAGTAGTTATATTACCGAAGTGTAAATTGCGATTTGCCCAAAAGCTCACAAAGTATATTTTAAGTAGCATCTATATGTCCTGCAAATATGTAATTACTAATTGTTTTTCATTATACGTTGTTAATAGCTCTTTTTACTTTTTATTAAATTCAATCTCTGTTTTAGATTTTACAAGTCTGGTCCAGTTTTCTAAAAATATAGTCCATTTTTTAAATGTAGAAAAATGATGTCTACAGTTTGCTAATACATTCTTTTCAATATGCCAAGTGCATACAAGGTTTTTTGATTCAAGAAATATAATTTTTACAGCATGTATTAATGCTAGCACTCTATCTGTAATAATAACCTAAGGTAGTATTGCAAATTGTAAGTTAAAAAAATAATTAATTAACTATTAACAACTAATTAATTAAATTTTCTTAAATATAAACCAATTGATTAATTGATTAATCAATTAGTTTAAATTAATTGATTAATCCTTTAATCAAGTAGTTTTAACTAATTGATTAAAGAATTAATTGATTAGTTACAACAAAGTTATTGTGGTTTGCAAAATTATGTAAAATTTGAAGATCAATAAAAAACAAAGTAATTGCTAATTTTTAATTACTAATTTTTGACTTCTTTAGCATTTTTTTGATTTTTAGACTATACAAAATTTGCATATTTATCATTTGTAAAAATTTGATTGGATATTTTAATACGCAACTCCTATTTATGCAAATATATAATAAATATACAACTTTTATTTCTATGAAAAATAATAAAATTTTTACAAAATAATAGCTACACAAATTTTGTATAATCTAAAAATTAAAAAAAAATGTTGAAGAAATCGGAAACCAGTAATTAGAAATTAGATTATTTTTTTTTTAATGATCTTCAAATTTCACAAAATTTTACAAACCACAATACTTGAAAAATTAATTCATTGCCTAATAATTAGTTGCAACTAATCGATTAATCAATTAATTAAAAATTTTAACAAATTTGTAATACTAACCTGAGGCTTGAAATTATTATTAAAAATATGTGCAACTCAAGTTAGGGTCCATATATAATCTTCTTCATGCTCTGATTTTAAAAATGAAAAACAAAAAGAAAATGTGGTGCTAAAGCTCATCATGCCAACAATATAAAGTAATAGCAATCTAAATTTGTTGGTTTTGTATGTACAATCCATTAAGAGAACAGAATTATAAGTTTGAGTAAGTATAATTGAGAGTGGATATGCAAAAAAAAGGTCAGTTAGACATTCATCTTTATCATATTGATAGTCATACTGAAAATTTTTATCTTTTAATTCATTAAAAAAAGCTTGGATTGGAGAACAACCCTGAAGATTATTACGTCAAATCTTGTTCTGAGAATTATATATAGTTTTAGCAATCACCTTAATGTCTAGATTGCCTTGACGAAGAGTAGAAAGTATTTCCCAAGGACTAATATCTGTAGCAGATATTTGTTGAACATTTTGTTGTTGTTTTTCAGTTAATTGACGACTAGATGGGTGATCTAATATTATAGATAGAAAATATTATACTGTGGTACTATATAATATATATAGTGATTTATCAGCAAAATTATATGATTTTGGTATTATTTGAATTGCCTCTGTGAGATGATTCAAATAATATCAGTATCATTATTATTCTACTTATTATACTCTATAATAACTTAATTATGACAATAATTTACAACTCTATCTGATATATCATCTGATGCCTTGTAACTATGTTTAGTATTTTTTACTGTCAAATACTATTGCTCATTTTCTATATAACCATATAGTTCAAAGAGGCAATTTATTAATCACAAATCCATGGCTCTTTGATGGGTTTCATCTGTAAGTTTTATTTTGTTTCTATAGACACCACTTTTATCTCAATGTAAATAGACAAACTTATTTTTCTTCAATCTTTTGATGCTTACTGCATATCCATGATCAAATACATATATTTTGGTATGCTGAATAAGAGCCTCATAACTTGTAAAATAACCAGTTGAAGATAGAGACAAAAACATGGATTTTTTTAAAAAACAATACAGTATAGTAGATATTACGATTTGAAAAATGGCAAAATTTAAAGGATTACACATGATACACAAATAGGTAAGCAAAAACTTTATAAGATATAACTCGTATGTTTATATTTATGATATCTTTATTACCGCAATTTGATAAACTTTTCTTCTAACTTATATCTTAGATTAGAAGATTACATAATAAATATAGATATAATACAATCGACTTTAATATGAAATCTGATTTTGCAAATTATTTGTGGATCAAATAGATGAGACTAATAGTGCAAAAATAAAGTTCCTCCTCTTATTGAAACTAGAAATATAAATCGATTCTAAATTTTTTAAATAGCTATTGTGAATCAATTCTTCAGAATCAATTCTATATAATCTTTTAAA